TTTTTTTTGGGGGGGGGGGGATTAATTCTTTCTGTCAGAATCATACTGCATTATTATTAAACGAGTACTTAAATTAGTGGAAAAAAATCGGTGAGATTTGATAGGGGAAAAGAAGAAGAGCAGATGTACCTTGATGACCCTCTGAAGAGAGGTTTGTTCTGTTCCGTGAGAAACAGAAAAGAGGGTTCACAGTTTCATGTTCTTTTAGTTACACTTGGATATCTTTCATCATAGGGGCCAAATCATGGTTCCTTTTAGAGCCTAAACGTGGAGATCCTCTGTTCAGAAATTGAATGGTGCGGTTGACTATTGAAAGATATTTAATTCTTCTCATTCCTGTATTTATTCTTTGAGGAATTGACTCTTAGATTAGCTAGATAGTTATGTACTTGTCTCAGTGATTTTCTTTTTCTTTATTTTGTTTTATGGTATATAGTTTTTCTATAATATTCTTTAGACAGAATAGTTTACTTTGACTTCTGCTGAAAGTTAAATTGGATGTTTAATAGCAATGCACACGGTCCTATCTAATATCATCCATTTCCTTTTGGACTCAAAACTTCTCCTAAAGTGAAGGTTAAAGTTTAATATTTCGTTTCGACGCATGCAGGTTCAATTCCGAAAGTCAATTCAACAACTTTGAGTGTTCTAAATATTTCATCAAACCACCTGTTAGGTTCACTCCCATCTTCTGTTGGAAATTGTGCAGTTGTGGATTTGAGCAGAAATATGCTAGATGATAACATTTCAGTTATTGAGAGCTGGGGAGGCAATCTGGAAACTATTGATTTGAGTTCAAACAGGTTGACTGGAATTATTCCCAATATAACCTCTCAGTTTCAACGTTTGACTTCTCTTAATTTCGGAAACAATTCTCTCGAGGGAAACTTACCTCCATCATTGGGCACCTACCCAAGACTGGTTACACTTGATCTCAGCACCAATAAACTTGGTGGACCTATTCCACCTACATTGTTCACTTCAATGACATTAATGAACCTCAATATGTCCGGAAATCAGTTGTCAGGATTAATTCCTATTGAAGGCTCTCATAGTAGCGAATTACTTCTTCAACCAACATACCCGGCACTAGAGTCTCTTGATCTTTCAGAAAACTCATTGACAAGTAATTTGTCTTCTGGCATTGGCAATCTGGGGAGGCTTCAAGTGCTAAATCTTGCTAAGAATCAGTTATCAGGCATGCTGCCCAGCGAATTGGGTAAACTTAGAAGTTTGGAATTCCTTGATGTATCTAAAAACAACTTTACGGGTAGAATCCCTGAAAATCTTTCATCGAATTTGAGGGTCTTTAATGTGTCTTACAATGATCTAAGTGGTACAGTCCCTATTAGCTTGAAAAACTTTTCTGATAGTTCATTTCATCCTGGAAACTCACTCTTGATCTTCCCGAGCAACTGGCCACATAATAATCATGGCGTTCCTGATCAAAGTAGTCCGCACCATCACAGCTCGAAATCCAGTATCAAAGTGGCAATTATTGTTGCCTCAGTTGGAGCTCTTTTGATGATTGCCTTCGTTCTCTTCGCTTACCGTCGAGCTCGGGCCCAAGATTCCCGCTTGCGAAGTGGATTTAATGGCCAATCCGCTGGAAGAGATGTTAAACTTGGAAGGTTCAATCGGCCTGCTATTTTCAAGTTCCATGGCTCCTCAGAGCCGCCCCCAACTTCGTTGAGTTTCTCTAATGATCACTTGCTCACATCAAACTCAAGATCGCTGTCTGGGCAAATTGAGTCTGGTACAGAAATTGTTGAGCATGTTTTTCCAGAGGGAGTAACTGCAGGTTCAGCAACTTCGCACACCGTAGGTAATCATCCTACAACATCTGGCCGGAGATCCTCGCCAGACTCTCCAATAGGTTCCTCCCCTCGTTTTATTGACACAATTGAACAACCAGTGACATTGGATGTGTATTCACCTGATCGATTGGCTGGGGAATTGTTCTTCCTGGATGGTTCACTGTCATTTACTGCTGAGGAGTTATCTCGTGCGCCTGCTGAAGTTCTGGGTAGAAGTAGCCATGGTACATTGTATAAAGCTACTCTAAATAGTGGTCACGTTCTCACTGTCAAGTGGTTGCGGGTGGGGTTAGTAAAAAACAAGAAAGAATTTGCAAAGGAAGTTAAAAAGATCGGATCTGTCAGGCATCCAAATGCTGTTCCTTTACGAGCATATTACTGGGGTCCTCGGGAACAAGAGAGGCTCATTCTAGCAGACTACATAGCAGGAGATAGCTTGGCAATGCATCTTTATGGTAAGATTTATTTATGAATAACTTCAATACTTATTATCCACGTTCATTTTTGTTTGGCTACTATTATTAAAAAGTTTTCTTTTGCTGATCTGGTGGATAATTATCCTGTGTTGGGATCAATGTCTGCTCTCCTCGGCATAGATAGTTTCTAAAGCAGCAGAGCTTATTTCTAGTGGTGGTTTCTTATTGCTGCGTTCTCATGTTTTTTGTGGGATCATAGTGATAAAAATGTGGAGAGGATAAATTTCGGCTGCAAGTTGGCTTGGCCTCTTGCAACTGTGCTTCCTTTACATGTCTTATTATGAAGATAGTGATTAGATCTTACTTAGAGATGTGGTCTCTTTTGATTGAATGCGGTGTAGAGTCGTTGATCAAAAGGAAAAAGGAAAAATAAAAGAAGAGTGCATTTGTAGAATCTGAATATTCTTTACAAATTATGTTGTTTGAATGTTTGCAAAGATCTGTATGCTTCATCTGAGAACATTCAAGAATTCCAGAAACGTGCAAGAGCTCTTTGGTTCACTAATTGACATACTCCGACGGCCATACATCGGAAGCCCATCAAATTAGGGAATAGACCTATTCTACCATATAGTTAAAATGCCTTAGAATGTTGTAGTAATTGCTGAGCATTTCGCTTAGTTCCCTTTTACTTCTTCTGGAATCATTCATTAATCATGATGAAAAAACTTTATAAATCTGGAAAGTATAGCTTTGTCATAGCATCATTAAAATTCCTGGATGTCAATCCGAGCGTTCAACAAAGACTGATTTACTTATAGAAGCATGGGGTTTGCTGGGAACTTCTTTTTTAACATTTTCACAGTTTAATTTTTTAGTGAATGTCTACTCTTTACAGAGACAACCCCTCGGAGGTACTCCCCGTTATCCTTCAACCAGAGGTTGAAAGTCGCTGTAGAAGTTGCTCGGTGTTTGGCATACCTGCATGAGAGAAGCCTGCCTCATGGAGACTTGAAGCCGACTAATATAATCTTGGTTGGTGCTGATTACAGTGCCCGCCTCACAGATTATGGTCTCCACCGCTTGATGACTCCAGCAGGGATTGCAGAGCAGATATTGAACCTAGGGGCTCTTGGGTACCGCGCTCCCGAACTTGCTACTGCAACGAAACCTATCCCATCGTTTAAGGCTGATGTATACGCTCTTGGCGTGATTCTAATGGAATTGCTCACGAGAAGAAGCGCTGGTGACATAATCTCGGGGCAATCAGGTGCAGTTGATTTAACAGATTGGGTTCGGTTGTGTGATCAAGAAGGTAGAGGAATGGACTGTATTGATAGAGATATTGCAGGAGGAGAAGAACAGTGCAAAGCAATGGATGATCTGCTAGCTGTGTCATTAAGGTGTATTCTACCAGTAAATGAAAGGCCTAACATCAGACAAGTTGTTGAAGATTTGTGTTCCATATCTGTGTGAAATTTTTGTACATGTGTCTTGGTTTCAATTCTTTTTATTTCTTTGCCTTCCATTAATTTTTCTCCTATTGGTTGCATTCTCATGTTGGTCAATCCTTACATATTCCCATTTTCTTTCCTCCTCCCCCCTTCAATTTTTGTGTAAAGGGATGATCAATCCATTGATTGATTGATTGACATTTTTCTCAAATTAGAAAGGATTGCAATTATTTGTCTTAATTGTTTCTGCTAACAGAAATTGGCTCATATTACATTTATAACAGTTGCTAGTGTATGTTCATATGCATTTCTTCTTTCTGTTCATTTTCATAGCTGCACCTGCAGTTCTGATTTCCAGTTTTCTTTCTCCGACTTATGTACCTAAGGGAAAAAGAATTGAATATGGTTTATTTATTGAGTTTGGTAGACATATATAACAAAACTCAGAATTATAGTTGAAAGATGTTTAAGAGTGAGGTTGTCACGTTAAATTAAAATATATTATCGTTAGTGATTTTCGTTTTCTGTCAAATAATCGTTATAGATTTAGAATAAATAAAAAGTATTATCTTTTTTTCTTTAAAAAAGAAAGACTTACAATTAGTGTTTTCTATTTGTCTATAGGATAAGTGTATTTGTCGAGCTTCCATAATTAAAATAATCTCTTTTCCACGAAAACTACATAATGGTTAACATTCGAATAATATATTTTCAATATTATCTGCTACAAGTATATATATGTTTATTCTAGATCACCACTATTTAAAGATACGACAAAGTGCACATTCTTAAAGGTTGACAACCATGTTAAGATTCTTTATCGCATTTATGTGTATTTTGTCGCACTATCTGGGAAGCAACATTTTGGACCCAATAGAACGAAAATGGGGTTATTATTATTACTGTGGAAAAACATTGTTTTGTCGTTAGAATTTAATTTGTATATATTGATAGTGTGAATGATTTTTATATTATTTGTGTACTTAACTTGTTATAGCAGATTTATTTGCCTAAATTTCACGTAACTAACATCACCTAAATACTTTATACGGAAAAAGGTCAAATATGTTCTTATACTATTGAAAAAGGTCTAATATTACCCTCCGTTATACTATCAGTCCAAATATATCCCTAACGTCATACTATCGGTCCAAATATATCCCTGACATCATGAAAATGGTACAAACCTACCCTTCCTCTGTTAACTGCCTCCCCTATAGCACATTTTATTGCTACCTCACCATTTCACCATGTTTGCAGCTACCAAGTTCAATTACTTTAAAGTTCTATCATTATTTTGAAGACTTCACTGCCTCTACTTCCTCTTGCTTTTCAAAATACCTGTTGCTTCTCCGGCCGATCCTGGAATTGTACGTACCTTTCACTTGATCTTACAATTTTATGTTTTATTTTGCATTTTCATGTGTTGTCGCTGAATTTGTAAGACCTATTTGGGGAAAATTTAGTACCACTTTTATTTTAACATAAAACGTAAAGAGAGAAAAAATGGTAGCATTCCAGAAATGTGGTTGAAGAGAAAGAAACAATAAAAATTAACTCTCGTGTCTAGGTTGTTTTTCTTTCTCACCATGGTCAATTTTGAAACCTTAAACTTGTTTGCCTGTATCTTTGCTTAGCTTATTATATAAAACAAAATGTATTTTCGTTCGTATAAGTATGAATTTTGAATAGCAAAATCAAAATTTTCTCAGTTCACATTATTTCATATTATCTTTAGCTATTAGCATTTCTTTTGATATAATTTGTTTGTATATCTATGATTTGTGATTTTCTTCAAATGAAAATGAAAGAAAGGTTGTGGGGAAGGGATGAAAATGAGAGTATAATGGTGAGGTAGCAATGAAATGTTGTCACAGGGAGGCAATTAACGGAGGAAGAGTAGGTTTGTACCACTTTTATGATGTCAGAGATATAATTGGACTGATAGTATGAGGTTAGAGATATATTTGGACTGATAGTATAACGACGGAGGGCAATATTAAACTTTTTTCAATAGTATAGGGACATATTTGACCCTTTTCCATACTTTATATTGTTATGTATAAAAGTTAAACTCTCGTTAATTATGCTCTTATAATTATTTAATTAAAGAATAATAATTTCGGAAAGAAAGTCCAGATAATTAGATATTTGTCTTTTTCTATTCAATATTAAAGGTTAAATTCAAGAGCTTCATACTATAAATTAATTACTTCATCATATCTAAAATTGGAAGTATTCTTTCTTGTCAAAAAGTTTGTATTGAAAACATTTTATTCATACCATTACGTAAATTAGTTATTTCTCATATCTCACCCTATTTTAAAATACAAAACTAACCGTTTAACAATTTAAATATACACTTGAATTAAACAATTAACAACAGCATTCTCATTCAAACATTACGTTAGTCAATTTGATTGAGTGGGATGAGAATCTTCATAGAATTGTACTATTCGTAACTCATATCTTTAATTACATGGACAAGATGAATATGTCTTCATAAAAAAATCGGCAGATTTGCATTTTATTGTAATTTCTGAATAAGTATCACGTTGTAATATAATTCTTCTTTTCTCATAATATATCCTTCGAAATGGAGGAGTATTTTACTCTCAAGATCCTACGCAATCTCTTAAAAATTCTAAAATGGATGGATTAACTCCTCTAATGTAGGGTGCCGTAGCTCAGTTGGTTAGAGCATTGGTCTTACAAGCCGAAGGTCGCGGGTTCGATCCCTGCCGGGACCAAATGTTGTTATCCCCTTTGTAAGAGCAGAGTTCTGTTGTCAGAATATGAGGTGGTTTTTATTTTCCATTTTAGTTTTTGTTAGATTGTTTTTCTCTTTCCAAGTTTCTGTATTCTTGTTGGTTTAAGAATTAGAAATTCCAACCAAAGGAATGTGAAAACAATAAAATCTTAATTGGTGCAATGTCTTTTTTAAGTAGAGCCCATTCTTTCTTTTTTCTTTGTTATGTTCTCTGAACCAAGTAAAAAAAAATAGATATAAAAAGAAGTAAAAAAAATATATATTACATCCAGTGTAGAACAGCTAAAGAGTGATGTTTTTTTTTCTATACCAATCTAATACAACAAAATTGATCTAACTAAAGATGATGCTTTAATCAATTAAAACTATTTAAACCAATAAAGAATATAAAAAGTGATGAGATGCTTAACTTTGTTATTAAATACTAACGTCTTATTTCAAGTTTGTACTTATAATTTTCAAATGCTCCAATAAGTTTTATAGTTAAATGTTAGTAGCTCAAACAAATCCTAAACCAAAACCAAATAAATATTAATGCTAATAAAAGACATTCAATTCAATTGCTAGGAACGACATAACTGTTTGTTTAGTTTTTCCATGGTTTACATAAAATGCACAACTTATTTTTTTTAGTGTTCCGTCATGTAGATAATAGTATTTATTAGTCGTACTTATTTTAGCAACTTAGCAATTTAAGATTATGTTATTTTCATTTTGCTTATTAATAATATTTATTTTATGCGATTTTATTATCCTTATTATTGAATTTTTCGTATAATATCATGACTCATCTTATATTTTATGTTAGTTTCTTGGAAATATCTTATATAGTTATATCTTACTAGAACTAAAGAAATATTTGGAGCACAAATTCTATGTTTTGTGCTATGAAAAAAAAATCGAGAAAAATCGAGATTAAAAAACTCGATTTTTATTGGTTTGGTTTGGTCTTTAGATTTAATAACCCGACACAATTGGTTTGGTTTGGTAATTAAAAATCCGAACCAAACCGACCTATGTACACCCCTAATTATACACCTTGTGGAGTGGACAAATCCAAACTATGTTAGAAAAAATATCAAAATATAAAAAAGACTATTTTCTTTCACAAGGAAAATTTGGAATGTATACATCCTATATATATTACCAGATTCCACTAATTTCTGCTGCTAAACATTTTCCCAGCATATTAATTTGTTTACAAGATGGTCTACCAGTATGTTTTGAACATATGAATTGAGAGGAATATGAGCAGAGGATGGGAAGCTATTGCTAGGGAAATTGCATGTGTTTGTAGTGTTAGAACTCCACATAGAATTACAAGTATGATACACAGTTTTGTGCATAGCTCTTGTACAGGTAGTGTTTTATTCACAGGATAGCTAACTGTATGTGTTCAGTAAGCTATAGTTTTGTGCAGGGGCGGAGGTACGGTAGAGGGTGCGGGTCCGGGCGAATTCAATGACTTTTTTTGAGACCCTGTATTTATATTGAAAAATTTACTATTTATATAAAAATATATACTGCCGAACCCAGTAACAAAAGGGGTCTGGGTTCAATGGTAAGATTTCTGGGGTCGCTTGGAGAACATACGGGTTCTAATCACGCTGAAAGCAATTAGCTATTTTCTTATTTTTTACGGTTTTTATTTTTAAGAAAGCATAAATAACACAAATTAGACGACATCTAGCTGTTTCTTCTAATCTTCTCAACTTCCAAATAAAAAAAGTTGGGGTTCTGCCTAGAGATTAAAAAACCCTAGATGAAAAGAGGCGCACCAACTCAATCTTCTACAACAACAAAATACTATTTTCCACCATTAAAGGAGCCTTCTTACTCAATCGAAAACCAATAGCTTTTCTCTGTGAAAGCTGTCTCAAACTCAAGCTCCAAAACACACCAAACTTCAGTTATAAAACTCCATTAAATTCCCGCAAAAATCAGCGAAAATCAGCTCCCAAAATCCCCCTTTTACAGCCAATGGTTGTGAGGAAAACTGGATTGAACTTAGGAGAGAGGAAAGCGAAAGCAGAGAAGATATTCCGAATTTGGGTTAATGGATGGGTTCTTGAAGAATGATGCAGTTAGTTTACAAAAAAATATTTTTGATCATGTTGAATTTACTGTTGCTCGATCAAGATTCAATTTTGATGATTTTGAAGCTTACCAGGTACTCCCATTTCCCGATTTATTTGACATTTGTTCAAAGGAGTAAAAATTGCACAGCATATTCATTTTTGGCATTTGGGTCTCGTTTAACTGCATCATCCCTTACTCTTGATTTGCTTATTTGTTGGAATAGAGTCATGTTTCACTTACTGCTAGACTTATACCCTTATTAAGAATAAAACTTTCATATGTCTACAGTAGAGCTACAGTAGAAGAAACCCCAATGACTTTTTTGAAGACCCTGTATTTGTAATTTAGAACCCATACACTTAAAATCCTAGCCCCGCCTCTGATTTTGTGCAGATGTTTTGGTGATTACTACAAAAAGAATTTAGTTAGCAAAA